AACAAGGAGACACTATGGATTTATGTTTTATTGATTTTGTTATGATTTGTACTATATGTTAATGTTTTTAATTGTATTTATGGTATTGTGGTCATTGAATTTTGTCCTGTAAACCGCCTTGAGTCGCTGAGAAAGGCAGTATAGAAATACAGTAAATAAATCTATATAAATAAAAATGTAATGTTCGTTTGTGGGATTAACAGAACTCAAAAACCACTGGACGAATTGACACCAAATTTGGACACAAGACACCTAACAACCCAATGTATGTCCTTCACTCAAAAAAAATGATGTTGTCATTTGGGAGTTGTAGTTGCTGGGATTTATAGTTCACCTACAATCAAAGAGCATTCTGAACCCCACCAATGATGGAATTGAACCAAACCTGGTACACAGTTCTCCCATGACCAACAGAAAATACTCCCTTGTCCCAAGGGAATACAGAAGGGTTTGGTGAGCATTGACCTTGAGTTTTGGAGTTGTAGTTCACCTACATCCAGAGATCACTGTGGACTCAAACAATGATGGATCTGGACCAAACTCTACATGAATACTCAATATGCCCAAATGTGAACACTGGTGGAGTTTGGGGAAAATAGAATCTTGACATTTGGGAGTTGTAGTTGCTGGGATTTATAGTTCACCTACGAATCATAGAGCATTCTGAACCCCACCAACGATAGAATTGGGCCAAACCTCCCACACAGAACCCCCATGTGGGCCACAGCAACGCGTGGCAGGGGATGGCTAATAAATAAATAAATAATGTTATGGTTGGGGGTCTCCACAACAGGAGGAGCTGTATTAAGGGATTGTGGCATTAGGAAGGTTGAGAACCACTGCTCCAAGTGAGCAGAGGGTGTCTCTCACATCTGCTGAGATAGATAATGGTTTTGAGTTGGGCGTTTTGAGGTCCCTCCCAGACAGTGTGGGAAGAGGCACACTAGGGAAAAACCAGACAATTGTACTTTTAATAATAATAATAATAATAATACTTTATTTGTACCCCGCTACCATCTCCCCAAGGGACTCGGTGCGGCTTACATGAGGCCGACCCCAAATACAACAATACAAGCAATAAAACAACAACATAGACAATAAAATATACAACATTATCAATAAGACAACACACAGTTAAAAACAATGGGAAGGCCAAATGTAAAGTTAAAATTGGAAGTAATGCTGGGACATGGACAAAAAGGTGATAATGGTGTTTGTGGAAAGGCATAAGAGCAGACCTAAAGAAATGTAAAGTGCTTTGGAGGACAAAGTGCTATGGGATCATTATTCCAGAAAGGCACACTGGATCAGCCACGTCTTCAAGCTCCTCCTGAAGACTGACAGAGTTGGGGCCTGTCTGATGTCCTTAGGGAGTGAGTTCCAGAGTCGAGGGGCCACCACCGAAAAGGCCAATTGCGCCTGCGATGCTGATGGGATCGAGAGCAGGGCCTCTCCGGATGATCGAAGGGATCGTGTGGGTTCGTATATGGAGATGCGGTCACGCAGGTAGGCGGGTCCCAAACCGTTCAGGGCTTTGTAGGTAAGAACCTGCACCTTGAATTGGGTCCGGTAAATGAATGGCGGCCCATGGAGCTTCTTGAACAGGAGGGTTGACCGCTCCCTGTAAGGAGCCCAGTTAACAACCTGGCTGCCACCCATTGGATCATCTGGAATTTCCGGGCCGTTTTCAAGGGCAGCCCCACGTAGAGTGCATTGCAGTAATCCAGTCTAGAGGTGACTAAGGCGTGGACCACTTTGGCCAGATCCGCCTTCCCGAGGTTCAGTTGCAGTTGGAGTACTTTTCTCTGATCCACTTCCTTAAAATGCAAAGTTCCAACTCTCGTGCTGCAGAATCAGAGCTGTTTTACCCATCTGTGGCCCTGCAGTGATGAACAACCTCCACCTAGCCCATCATCACAATCCAGTCTTATTCAAAATACATGAGGTGCAAGGAAAAACCATGCCGATCACAACTTAATAGTGTCAATGCGCAGAAATCTGGGCATCTCATTTCAAAACAATTTCAAACTCACATACTTTAACCGTCTTTTAAAAATTCTTTTGGTTGCTCTTCCTAATCCAGAAAAACTTGAGGTTCCTCACAGTTCAGCTGTTCCTTACAGGTAGGAGAACCCTTTGGGGGACTGTAACATCAAGCAAAGGCCCTTGCCTGCCTAGACTTCCCACCTAGAAATGGTTTGTTCTACATTCCGAGCACTTAGTCTATGGAGTGATACCACAATAGTGCAACTTGTTCAAGATTCCCAAACTCGATCTCAAGGAACGCATTCCGAATCTGTGCCAGGGACCAAAACTCACCAAACAGCTCAGTATGGGCAAAATGTGAGCTCTTTTGAACTATATGTAAAGAGGCATCCAGACAGGCTATTCCTGAAAGCAGGTTCCAAGGAACTATTGGGTCTCTTGAGAACAGCAGCCCAAAGGCCATAATCTGAATTTCGTCATCGACAACCCTGAGGCACAGAATTCAGGCAGCTGCAGCACAATGATAAGGAAGAAGGGGGTGTCTCATTTTAGTTTTGGCAGCATACAATAAAAAAAACGGGTGCAGTATTTGGAAATGACTGAAGAGAAAACATAGGGAATCCCTTCTGCTTACTACTGTGTATAGCAGCATTCCTCAACGCGAGGTGGGGGGCGTGAGAGGATTTCGGGGGGGGGGTTCCAATGCGGCCCTAGGTAATTTTCAACAGTAAGCAAACAGTATTTTGCCCCCCCCCCCCCCAACCAATCACTGATATATATTTTCTGTTTGTCATGGGAGTTCTGTGTGCCATATTTGGTTCAATTCCATCATTGGTGGAGTTCAGAATGCTCTTTGATTTTAGGTGAACTATACATCCCAGTAACTACAACTCGCATATGTCAAGGTCTATTTTCCCCCAAGAGCGCCTCAAGAGCGCCCCTGGGCAAAATCAACTATATTGCAAATGCTTACTTTGCGTAATGGGTTGAGCCGCCCCTGGGGTCGCCATTGACTATAGCAAACTCATTTTCTTACTCCTTTATTATCCTGGCAATTATCCCACCCTAGCTGCAACTAGGCCGCTCTGGGCCAGAGTGAAGAGAGCGGGGGGGGGGGGGGGGTGGAGGCAGGGGACAGTTCCACCTTGTCTCCTGTGCTATGCTAATAATATAATGTAATATAATGTAATGTAATATAGTATAATATAATGTATATACATATAATATTTATAATATTATAATGCAGTGCAATATAATACTACTAATTATAACATTTTATAATTATATATTTATATTACATGTAATATTACTAATAATCGATATAAATAAAAATGTAATGTTCGTTTGTGGGATTAACATAACTCAAAAAAACCCTGGGTAGGCCCTGCTCTCTGTCCCACCTGCAACACAGGCGCGCTTGGTGGGGACGAGAGACAGGGCCTTCTCAGTGGTGGCCCCTCGGCTGTGGAATGCCCTGCCTGCAGATATCAGATTGGCCCCCTCCCTGCTGGCGTTTCGGAGGAAAATGAAGACCTGGCTGTTCGAACAAGCATTTGATTAAACAGTGTAATTAAACATAGGAATACGGAATAATGGATGATGAGACTGGATTCTGATTTTACTGTTGAGGCGCTAATGATTGTTATACGGATGTTTAATGATTTATGTTACAATTATTTTTAATCGCCCCATACTTGTCTCGTGATGTTTTGTATCAATGTTGTTTACCGCTTTGAGTCACCTGAGGGCTGAGAAAAGCGGTATATAAATAAAGGAAATAAATAAAACCCACTGGACAAATTGAAACCAAATTTGGACACAATACACAATACACCTATCAGGCCAATGATACTTTACTCATTGAAACACTGGACAACACAGAAGAGACTTAAAAAGCCCAAAAAAAAAACCCCACAAAAATACATTACAATGCATGTGCAAAACTACATATATACGCAAACACACATACACACATATACATACACAAATATACATACACACAAAACACATATACACAGACTGGGCCACAGCAACACATGGCAGGGGACAGCTAGCATTACAATATAATGGTATAGTAAAATATAGTAATATTTCTTACTTTTTTGTCATGTCAGGAGCAACTTGAGAAACTGTATTTTCTCTTGGTCATGGTTATTCTGGGTTGCAAGTTTGGCCCAATTCTATCTTTGGTGGGGTTCGGAAAACTCTGATTGTAGGTGAACTATAAATCTCAGCAACTACAACTCCCAAATGTTAAGGTCTATTTTCCCCAAACTCCATGGGTGTTCAAATTTGGGCGTATTGGGTATTTGTGCCAAATTTAGTCCAGATATATCACTGTTTGAGTCCACAATGCTCTATTAGATTAGGGGAATGGGAGTTCTGTGTGCCAAGCTTGGCTCAATTTCATCGTTGGTGGAGTTCAGAACGCTCTTTGATTGTAGGTGAACTATAAATCCCAGCAACCGCAACTCCCAAATGACAAAATCAATCCCCTCCCTACCTCACACCAGTATTCAAATGTGGGCGTATCGGGTATTTGTGCCAAATTTGAATACTGGTGAATCAAAATAAGTCCTGCATATGAGATATTTACATTATGATTCATAACTGTAACAAAATTACAGTTGTGAAGTAGCAACAAAAATAATTTTATGGTTGGGTGTCACCACAACATGAGGAACTGGATTAAGGGAGTACAAAACTGGGGATTCTGGCAGACTGAAGAGGGACTTCTGGCTGCATTTAAACCATGTATACGCCTGCTGCAGATGGTGGGTATATACCGTATGGATATATGTGCCTTCAGGTGACATGCTGACTGATGATGACCTCAAATTTCATAGCATTATCTTTGGCAAGGGATATGGAAATGCCTTTGGGGTACTTAGGCGAGGCGGAGACAGGAAGCACCACCTGTTATAACTGACAGCAGTATTCATTTGAACTTAATTAACCCAAAAACAACACGGATGTGAGTTTTGACATGGAAAGAAACACAAGCCATCACCTACCAGAGTATTGCTCTTCTTAATATCCTCTAAGCGCTCCAATACGGAAGTCAAGTTGGGGTCATCTGATTCCACAAACCATATTGGCGATGAGGAAGGGTAAGATTCCTAGTCAAATAAAATAATGATATTTACATTCACTGAATAATAATAATAATAATAATAATAATAATAATAATAAACTTTATTTATATCCTGCCCTATCTCCCAGGAGAGAATGCCTCTAGAACATGGCCATATAGCCCGAAAAAACCTACAACAACCCAGTGATTCCGGCCATGAAAGCCTTTGACAATAATAATAATAATCTTTATTTAATGCCCCACCAACATCTCCCCAATGGGGACTTGGGCGGCTTACTCGAGGCCAAGCATATTACAATAAGGTAAAACCAAAGCACAATAACAACACAGTACGAAGACGATAAAGCAAAACCATACACAGTAAAATAAAATAACATAACATAGCAATGAGCGGGCCGCATGTGCAAGATAAAAACTAAGATACTAAAAATACTAAAATCAGGATGGGATGGGGATGGAGCAGGTTGTTTGTGGGGGAGAAACTCGTAACGGAATGGGGTCATAAATATAGACCCTCATACAGGTGGGGAATTATACTCTGGGGACAAAAACCGTTGAGGGGGAGCAACTGTGTATGATAATATGGCTACTCTCCAAAAGCGCAATGGAAAAACCAGGTTTTGAGATCCCTCTTGAAAATTTCTAAGGTGGGGGCCTTCCTAATCTCACCAGGCAATGAGTTCCAGGGTTGGGGGGCAACAAAGAAGGAAAAATGTTTTCCCCTATCCCCTTGGACACCTAAAAATGCTTGGGATATGCATGGAAAACCTGTTTTACAAATCTTTTACATCTCTATGACTTTCACCCTACTCACCAGTTATCAAACTTTCTGATACATAGGAGCTCTTCCCAGAAGACTTATTTAGATCCCACCTTACGGCTGCAAGCGGCTCCAAGTTGGAATAACCACAAATCCACTGTGCCAATGGAAGTCATGTACTGCATCCCAATATTATTCCTTATTGACCACTTTAAAGGAAAATACTGCATCAGAATTCTCTCCCATGGCATAAAATGATTCTAACTGCCTCTGACAAGCTGGCACAACCGTTTTCAATTATCCAGTGTGTCAACAGCTTCATCTGCTTATTGCATAAGAACCACGCACAAATGCAATTCTGTTAGCAGGGACAGTCGTTCCAGGCAGAACAGACCATTCCCTCTTGCAACAGTACGAGCAAAGGACATCCCATTTGCCGTAAACAGCACAACAGCTTCATACCCAAAGACATCCTGGAAATGGCCCCAAATGAAGAGGGGAGGAAAGGACTCTCATTCAGCTCGCATTTGTCTCAAGAGCCTCACGAGTCACATTGATTTATTGTGTCAGGAGCGAACCAAAACAGTTGTATTGCATTTAAAAAACAGACAAACAAACAAACAAACCACAAAATTTGCAGGCTTGGTATTCTATTAAATGTCCTTTGACCAGAAGCTGACCACTTGGAGTGCCTCTGGTGTTGCTGCAAGGAGGTCCTCCATTGTGCATGTAGCAGGGCTCAAGCTGCATTGCAGCAAGTGGTCTGTAGTTTGCTCTTCTCCAAACCCGCATGTCGTGGAGTCCACTTTGAGGCCCCATTTCTTGAGGTTGGCTCTGCATCTCGTGATGCCAGAGCACAGCCTGTTCAGCGCCTTCCAAGTCGCCCAGTCTTCTGTGTGCTCAGGGGGAGTCTCTCATTTGGTATCAACCGTTGATTGAGGTTCTGGGTTTGAGCCTGCCACCTATGGACTCTCGCTTACTGAGGTGTTCCAGCAAGTGTCTCTGTAGATCTTAGAAAACTATTTCTTGATTTAAGTAGTTGACGTGCTGGCTGATACCCCAACAGGGGGTGGGCCAGAGATGTCACTGCCTTGGTTCTTTCATTATTGGTTGCTACTCCTCGGCAAATGTCAGGTGGTACAATACCGGCTAGACAGTGTAATTTCTCCAGTGGTGTTGGGCGCAGACACCCCATGATGATGCGGCATGTCTCATTCAGCGCCACATCCACTGTTTTAGCGTGGTGAGATGTGTTCTACACTGGGCATGCGTACTCAGCAGCAGAGTAGCAAAGCTCAAGGGCAGATGTCTTCACTGTGTCTGGTTGTGATCCCCAGGTTGTGCCAGTCAGCTTTCGTATGATATTGTTTCTAGTGCCCACTTTTTGCTTGATATTCAGGCAGTGCTTCTTGTAGGGCAGAGCACAGTCCAGAGTCACTCCCAGGTATCTGGGTGTGCTGCAATGCTCCAGTGGGATTCCTTACCAGGTCATCCTCAGAGCTCTGGATGCTTGTGTGTTCTTAAGGTGAAAAACACATGTCTGTGTTTTAGATAGATTAGGAAACACCTGGTTTTCCCTGTAATAGGCAGTAAGAGCACCTAGAGCTCCGGAGAGCTTCTGTTCAACCATCTTAAAGCTCCCTGCTTGAGCGGTGATGGCACGATCGTCAGCATAGATTAGATGGATTAGGAATCAGCTGATTTCCCCTGTAATAGGCAGTAAGAGCACCTAGAGCTTCAGAGAGCTTCTGTTCAACCATCTCAAAGCTCCCTGCTTGAGCGGTGATGGCACGATCGTCAGCATAGATTAAATTTAGATGGATCAGGAATCAGCTGTTTTTCCCTGTAATAGGCAGTAAGAGCACCTAGAGCTTCTGAGAGCTTCTGTTCAACCCTTTCAAAGCTCCCTGCTTGAGCAGTGATGGCACGATCATCAGCATAGATTAGGCGGATTAGGAATCAGCTGTTTTTCCCTGTAATGGGCAGTAAGAGCACTTAGAGCTTCGGAGAGCTTCTGTTCAACCCTTTCAAAGCTCCCTGCTTGAGTGGTGATGGCACGATCGTCAGCATAGATTAAACTTAGATGGATTAGGGATCAGCTGGTTTTCCCTGTAATAGGCAGTAAGAGCACCTAGAGCTTCAGAGAGCTTCTGTTCAACCATCTCAAAACTCCATGTTTGTGCGGTGATGGCACGATCGTCAGCATAAATTAAACTTAGATGGATTAGGAATCAGCTGGTTTCCCCTGTAATGGGCAGTAAGAGCACCTACAGCTTCAGAGAGCTTCTGTTCAACCATCTCAAAGCTTGAGCAGTAAGGGAAACATGAGAGAAGCCTCCTTGCAGGATTGCATCCCCTGGGCAATGTCTTCATAGACGGTTGATTTTCTCACTCCAGAAGCGACCAGGAGAGTCACAGGGCATTGTGTTATCAACCACCGTGGCTGGCCAGTGAAAGCTTTTAACAAAATGCATTTAATTCTGTATTTGTGTTGAGTAATCCTACGCTTTTCCTATCTGAAACAGCATATTTTGGTGCCAAACAGAACTATGAACTTGCTATCACAACATTGTCATTACGAAGCTTTTAGGAAGTTGCCTGAACTCAGTGCTGCTACCACAGGCTCTCCCACCCCAGTTAACTTACGTGACTAAGAGGCAGAAAAATTAATGGTTCCTGGCACTCACCGTATTAGTTTCAATTAAACCTGACGTGCCAAGGAAACCAATTCCCCAAATATACATGATCTTGCACAGCCATTTTGACAGCTGTGCTGCCAGCGAACGCCAAGCTCTCCTGCGTTTGGTGACATTCTGAAGACAACATCAGAGTGTAGCATTAACAGCGTTCCCCTTCCACAGCAGCATTAAATGCTGTCTAATATGTTTACACAGCACCAAACACCCGCTCTGTTGGAAGCTATGACACAGAGGTACAAGTCTGCAAGGAAAGTTCCACCCACCCACGCCCAAATGTCACAGGGCTGCTTGACCAGAAGGTGTGGTAAGATGGAAGGCCACGTTGTTATTGGCTTCCTTCCCCTGAGATTCACTTTATAGGGCAAGGGACCAGGTTCTGGCCATTGGAAAGAAAAATTTCCCTACTATGAACTTGCTCAAATTCCAAGATTTCCAGGGAGGGGGATTCCCTTGAGCCCGCCACCCCCATAGATCAGCGTTTCTAAACATGGGAGTCGGGACTACTGGGGGGTCATGAGGGGTCACCAAAGACCATCAGAAAACATATATTTCTGATGGTCTGAGGGGGCCACCACCGAGAAGGCACTCTTGTCCCCACCAATCGCACCAGTGAAGGGGATGGGGGCCTCTCCAGATGATCGAAGAGATCGTGTGGGTTTGTAGATGGAAATGCAGTCACGCAGGTAGGCGGGTCCCAAACCGTTCAGGGCTTTGTAGGTAAGAACCTGCACCTTGAATTGGGACCGGAAAATTATTATTATTATTATTATTAATAATAATAATAATAATAATACTTTATTAGTACCCCGGTACCATCTCCCTAAGGGACTCGGCCCGGCTTACATGAGGCCAAGCCCACAACACATACAATAAACAAAAGCAATAACAATAATCAATACAAAACAGTTAAAATAAACTCAAAACAGAAAAGACACAATAAGCAATAACAATAACATATTGCAACATACAGCATTTAAAAACCTATGGCCGGGCCAAATGTAATAATTCAAATTTAAAATCAAAAAGTGCTGGGCATGAACAAGATAAGACAAATTAAAATAGGGCTTTCAGAGAAAGATGAGGGCGCGCAGACAACCCTGAATCCATATTAAAGTGCATTTGAGGACATATTGCTAAGAGTTTTCCTTATTCTGGGAAGACACACTGGAACAACCACGTTTTCAGGCTCCTCCTAAAAACTGCCAGCATTGGGGCATGTCTGATGTTCCTGGGAAGTGAGTTCCAGAGTCGAGGGACCACCACCGAGAAGGCCCTGTCCCTCATCCCCACCAATCGCGCTTGCGATGGAGGCGGGAGCACGAACAGGGCCTCTCCAGATGATCAAAGAGATCGTGTGGGTTTGTACACAGTGATGCGGTCACGGCAGCCAATGGAGCTCCTTAAACAGGAGGGTTGACCACTATGTAAACTATGTAAATATAAGGGTGGCATATGTGAGTATTTCGACCTAGCGCGGTTTTGCAATCAGTCTCCAATAAATTGAGACCCAGGGTGCACATCCGACCACAATATACTACAGAGAACCAACTCTTATGTATTTCTGTA